ATTTCTTTTTTTTCGTTTTATTAACTGTAAGTATTCTGCTATGCATATAATTATAACCAGAGACGTGCTAAAAATCAGTGTATAAAATAAGTATATCTACGTATTTTGTATATTGGGCTACCATATAAAATCCTTTACGGTTATAAAATAAGTATATCTACGTATTTTGTATATTGCTTCACCATATAAAATCCTTTACGATTATAAAATAAGTATATTTACGTATTTTGTATATTGCTTCACCATATAAAATCCTTTACGATTATAAAATAAGTATATCTACGTATTTTGTATATTGGTTCACCTTACTCTGTAAATCACTTGACTGACTGTGTTTACTTTAGCTTACCCTTACTCGGTAAATCACTTGACTGACTATGTTTACTTTAGCCTACCCTTACTCTGTAAATCACTCGACTGACTGTGTTTACTTTAGCTTACCCTTAATCTATAAATCACTTGACTGACTATGTTTACTTTAGCTTACCCTTACTCTGTAAATCACTTGACTGACTGTCTTACTTTAGCTTACCCTTACTCTGTAAATCACTTGACTGACTGTGCTTACTTTAGCTTACCCTTACTCTGTAAATCACTTGACATACTGTGTTTACTTTAGCTTACCCTTACTCTGTAAATCACTTGACTGACTGTGTTTACTTTAGCTTACCCTTACTCTGTAAAGACAACCAAACTTACATAAGCGATGGGATGATGTCAACGACATTGCTTGGTTGTTATTTTTATTGTTCTCTTAAGATGTAAATTATGATAGGTACTGTGTTTTCCTCGAAAACAGGATTAAAACAGCATTATAACGAAAAACAAGCACATTGGTGTATCTAAACAAACATATGACTGTGGTCATACAACATTTATCATACAATTTTATGTCAACACCTTTCGGTACCTTCAAAAAGTATAAGAATTGTGTCACAACAAAATGAATATAGATCACAGTGCAATGTAAAAATATACAATAAACCATCTGCGCGCTGTCCACCACGAGAAATCAAACCCCCGGATTTGAGCGTTATAAGTACATAAACTTGCCACTGCAGGACCAATAAAAAAGACCCTGGAATATTGAAAAACTGATAGATTTCTCACTTATACAGTAACGGATACTATATTTGAAGTGGAAAGTTTGTCCTTTAAAAATATATTAATAAAGTCTTCAAGAAATAAAGGCCGTGAACATGAAGAATATTTCAAATCATAATTTACATAAGAGTTCACAGCAGGAAGAAGTCAACATATTTTCTACACTCAGTAAACTTTGATAAGGAATCAAAGTTACTGACAGAAACATTTGCTTGTATGTAATCATTTGCATATAAATGGCTGTTTCTACAGTTGTGACAATGCAGTGAAAACGCAGCAACTTGTCGTATATAAACTTCTACATATCTGTCATCATTAGCTACAACCAATCTAATTATGCGTTCAAATTCTGTAGGGATGGATTAGACAGCATCACGGATACAAGGTTTCAGTTCCTCAAGATTTTCTCTGGTTTGTTATGGGAAACTCTTGTTTTCAAAAAGTCCCAAAGGTAAAATTCCAAGGAGGTGAAATCGGGGGAATCCTACTCAAAAAGTGGGTCATTTCCGAAATCTACAATAAAACACATTCACAAATAATAATAATAAATAATGTAAGTAATAAAAATAATAATTAACTTCAATAAAACTTACAAGCCTTCAGAAAATATTTTATTTTGAATTGTCACTTTGAATACCATGACCAGCTGGGTCTTAGTTTACTTGGCAAATATTTTAACCTGTTCATCTGTTTTCGCGAAATGTTCGTTTACTGGAGTCTTTGCTAATATTTAACATACAGATATATATATTCGAATTAGCATACTAATTTTATAACGGAATAAAAATAAATAAAAAGTATCGGAAATCACATTTTTAATATTCATAACCATGCTTGACAATCAGTGCTTATTGGTTTGTTGTATTTTCGCGCACAGCTACTCTAGAGCTATCTGCGCTAGCCGTCTTTATTTTGAAGAGATTGACTGGAGAGAAGGCAGCTAATCAACACCCCCATTGCTAATTCTTGGGCTACTCTTTACCAACGAATAGTGGGATTGACTGTAACTTTATAATGCACTATGGCTGAAAGAGCGAATCTGTTCGGTGACGGGTTTTGATCCCACTACCTGCAGAATGTGACTAAGCTAGGCCCGACAAAGAGTCCTTTTCACAATTTTCGCCCAAGGTTACACAAGGACTATCTGATATAGCCGTTTCTTATTTTGAACTGATAGACTAGAGGGAAAGTAGCTAGTCAGCATCACCCACCGCCGATTTTTGGGTTACTATTGTCTGATCGCATTGTGGGATTTGACCGTCACTGTTATAACGAAACCTTGGTTCCTAAGTGTGGAGAGCGTTTTTTTTTTTTTTTCCTTTTTGCGGTAACGGGTCACAGGTCACGAACCACGGAAGCTCAGCTCCACAGTCCGGCACACTAACTACTGGACTGCGATCAGCCCCATAACATTACACAGCATCATTTTAAATTATTGGAACAATAACTCAGCATCATTTTAAATGATTGGAACAATAACTCAGCATCATTTTAAATGATTGGAACAATAACTCAGCATCATTTTAAATGATTGGAACAATAACACAGAAGCATTTTAAATGATTGGAACAATAACTCAGCATCATTTTAAATGATTGGAACAATAACACAGAAGCATTTTAAATGATTGGAACAATAACTCAGCATCATTTTAAATGATTGGAACAATAACTCAGCATCATTTTAAATGATTGGAACAATAACACAGAAGCATTTTAAATGATTGGAACAATAACACAGAAGCATTTTAAATGATTGGAACAATAACACAGAAGTAGTTTACATGTCGGAACAATAACACAGCAGCATTTTAAATGATTGGAACAATAACACAGCAGGAGTTTACATGTCGGAACAATAACACAGCAGCATTTTAAATGATTGAAACAATAACACAGAAGTAGTTTACATGTCGGAACAATAACACAGCAGCATTTTAAATGATTGAAACAATAACACAGAAGTAGTTTACAT